AAAAAAAAAAAAAAAAAAAAAAAAGCTACACTAAGTGACTCTCTTTATCTAAAAATAACATGGGAATATAAAATGTTTTACTCACGCCTCCGCAGTATGGTCCAGAGGAGGGAGAGCTGGCGTTGGGCCCATCGTGGAGTGTGAGATAGTTCTGGACGCAGTCTCCTGGATCATCAATGCTGATGAAGTAAAAGTTGACGGTGACAAGCCTTCCAGCAGGAGCCACGAGGGCCCACTCGCAGTGCGTGTTGTTTGGGTACGTGCCTGGATAGCCGGGGCTGGTGAAGGAGCCTCTGTCTCCATAAAGAGTTCCACCACATCCTGCAAGGCAAACAGGGCAGGAAGTTTGATTCCACAGTCTACAAGCCATCCGGTCTGGCTTGCTGGGCAGTAAGACTTTATTTTCTTAAGGTCCTCAGACCCTGCAAGAATAAAGGAGGCAGAAACCCCTCTTTTTGTTCCTCTTCTTTCAGCTACACCCTTTCTCCTTCCTTCCACTCTCTTGCCATCGCTGCCTCCACCTCTTCCATCCTCAACACACATGCCTCTGCCTGCATCTCACAGCCCTCGGACAACTTCCTCTGGGACTGTACTTTGAAAATTGGGAGTCGGCCGGGCACGATGACTCATGCCTGTAATCCCAGCACTTTAGGAGGTGGAGGCGGGCGGATCAAGAGGTCAAGAATTCGAGACCAGCCTGACCTACACGGTGAAAGCCCATCTCTACTAAAAATACCAAAATTAGCCAGGCGTGGTGGCGTGCACCTGTAATCCCAGCTACTCAGGAGGCTGAGGCTGCAGAATCGCTTGAACCTGGGAGGCAGAGGTTGCAGTGAGGCAAGATTGCACCATTGCACTCCAGCCTGGGCAACAGAATGAGACTCCATCTCAAAAAAAAGAAATTGGGTGTGGAGAGCAGAATGGGGGGGGAAAACTTGATAAAGTAACTGTGAGAGAAAATCAAGTTGTCGTCTGTGTGCTTTCGATAGTGCAGAGCTCTCTGCCCCCAGTTGATGATGATGATGTGAGTAAAGTAAAATTAGAAGTAATAAAAATGTAGCGCTAAACCAAGAGGGAATGTGTTATTGTAGGAGGTGGCAAGAATGTCTTCATTATAAAAGTGACTTTGTCAGGCTGATAACTGACATACTTAAGGTCGAATGCTTCAAGTTTTGGTGTTAATTTCTTCAATTTGTTCGTCTGTATACAAAGGCTGTCATGATTTACATGACATATCTGTGGAGATCCAGATTGCCTCCTGGATAGGAAGAAGCTGGCCGGCATAGTTACAGAGCACCTGGCTGGGCTTCTGACCCCCGAGGTCGAGTCCCACCTCCACCTCAGGCTAGCAGAACATTTTGGGCAACTCATTAATCCTGGTGGGTTTTTTAGATGGAGTCTTGCTCTGTTGCCCAGGCTGGAGTGTTAGTGGTGTGATCTCAGCTCACTACAGCCTCTGTCTCCCAGATTCAAGTGATTCTCCTGTCCCAGCCTCCTGAGAAGCTGGGATTACAGGCATGCACCACCACATTCAGTTAATTTTTGTATTTTTAGTGGAGACAGGATTCACTGTGTGGGTGGGCCAGGCTGGTCTAGAACTACTGACCTCAGATGATCCACCTGCCTTGGCCTCCCAGGGATTATAGGCGTGAGCCACCACGCCCAGCCTAACCTTTGTGTTTTATTTACTCGTGATAAAATTTGAGCATTGGAGGTCATCTTTAAGCTTCCTTTGGGTGCCAAGATTCCATAACCCAAGACTGTCTTAATAGAATGCTTTTCTTAGGATATTTAAGTGAGTTCTGTTTATCTTTCTTGTTTTGAAGGTATTTTGGCATTTCCGGACATTTCATAAAGATATTCCTCCTCTCTTGCATTAACTGCATTGACATGACTTAAACTTTCTTCAGCTGTTTGATAAATTGCCAATGAAAAATGTGAGAAGATACTTACTACCCTAAAAAAGCAATTTATCTGAAGACTGCCAAGAAATGCCAGGGCCTGCGAGAAGCACAACTACTCATATATATGCCAGAATGTGTTCACAAGTTGGATTTTTCGTAAATATTTTTCTTTAAATTCTCAAAGAACTTCTTTGATGGTCAAGCCAAAAGTCAAAAAGCCTAACAAATATAAATTTACAAAGGAATTTTTAAATTTTTATAACTTATATATGCTTCATATATGAATGTATATTCTTTTATAAACTGAAATAATGAGTAAATATAGAATGTAATGTAATCTGGATGGGCGTGGTGGCTCATGCCTGTAACCCCAGCATTTCAGGAGGCTGACATGGGTGGATCTGAGGTCAGGGGTTTGAGAGCAGCCTGGCCAACATGGGGAAACTCCGTCTCTACTGCAAATATAAAAGGTAGCTGAGCATGGTGTCACATGCCTGTAACCTCAGCTACTTGGAGGCTGAGGCGGGAGAATCACTTGAACTCGGGAAGCAGAGGTTGCAGTGAGCTGAGATTGTGCTACTGCACTCCAGCTGAGGCAACAGAGTGAGACTTCATCGCAAAAAAAAGTAATCTGTACTTTCATTGTTCAAAGTGTCTGTTCTTAAATTAATCAGGTACATGGGTAGCTAAACATGTAAGGTTACTTTGCCTTTTTCTATTATATGCCTTATGTTTTTCTCACCTACACTGCTTTCCTGTACAAAGTGCAAATATCTTACCAGAGGGTGATGAGGTCCAGATGATTTCATATCCATGATTGGAAACAACACTATCACTCTTAAATCGTAGGTATAGTTCATTATTTTGAGAGAAGACAGGGTTTGGCAGCAGAGTTCCACAGTACTTGCCCAGTAATGGTGAATTGCTGTTACTTCCATTTCTCACCTTTAGGAATGAGTCATTCATTATTAAACTTACACTTTCTTCTCTAATGTGTATAGATTAAAACGTGAGACAATTTGAATGATGACATTTTTCAGAAAAGCTTTGTCTTTTTACCTACCTAAGAATGAAGGGTTTTCTCAAATACATGCAGATGTCACTTCACTTGCAAAGGGGAAAAACGTTTCATACGTCGGTCAAAAAACATTTACATTTGGATTCAGAAATATCTGTTAACCTACAGCAGTGAAAACACCAGGCTGCTTTTTTATATAATAGTTCGTGCTATGATCCTGCAACCTTTGCTTCTGGGGAAACATTTTGAGGAACGTAGGTAAAGTGAATTTGTAAGAGGTGGGGATAGGTGGGGGCAGCGTTGCCTGCTGTGTTTCCAGTCAACTATTTTACCTTTCTCGTGTGGGTGTGTGCACACACGTGTGCACATATGCATGCTCACACTCCCACACACATGCATGGACGTGTTTCCCATTGAAAATTACCTGGCTGTAAAGGGGCTATGAAAAAATACAATGCAAAGTATAATAAAGTTCAGAACAAAAGGAATTTCTATATGGGAAAAGGACAGAATTACAAATTATACAACTTCTGACTGTTGTTAAATGTGTTTTAAATACACATTCCAAGGCCTTGTTGCTTTTTCATTTCAACTCATTTTTGAGTAGACACATACAAAAACAGGAAATGAGTTGGTGTTTTGTGGGGAGAGAGAACCACACAGTGAATTCAACCACTTTCTGTCCTCCAGCCTGGTCCTACCCTGCATTCACAGCCAGCACTACTTCCAGGAGGGCCTCGACGCTGCTTAAGGAAACGTTACACAGGAAATGTATGTTGGAACCAGCCTGACATGTAGAAATGCTGATTTTCCTGATCTATGTATTCAAAATCTTGCAGGTTCCTCTGTTCCTTTTATAATTCCATGATTTAAAATTTGGTTAACTGCTGGTATCTTAAGTCACAGAGTTAAGACAGTCTAATCCTGCTGGGCTGTGTTGATCAGCTGAGGTTCCTTTTAGGTCTATGTAGTATATAGCCCATGGGAGAGAATAATGCCTGTCTAGTGCTTTGGGTATTATTCTGCTAAGCGTTTAAACAAAGTAGCCAGTTATCCACTAGTAGATGGCAGGGCTGCCATATTTAAAACCTGCCAGTATCATACTCTTGAGTCTGGGTGTTTTCCTCTCGGGGTCCTCTTTTAAAATGCCATTACTCTGAGAGCAGCAGCAAGCTACTAATTTCCACTGACACTGCCAACAACTTGTCTTATTCACTTTTCTCTTCTCTGAACAGGACCACCAAGAGCGGCAGCCATCTCTGGGACATCAGAGGATCCTGGAAAAGTAGGTGAAGGCGTGAAAACAATCGCAGATCCCAAGCATGGTCTAGAGCTCAGCCTTTGCTTGGTAGTAACACAGTCAGAATCCTCAGTCAGACATTTCCGTTGCCACCACAGTTCACAAGAATGGAATGCTGAGGCTTCCTGGTACAGCTGCCAGGAAACTATGCCCACAGTCTTCCCACTGAGAGCCCGGTGGAACTATGTATTACAAGCCTAAGCTGTGGTTTCCTTTCTATGCTTAGGGGACAGGAAGTTTCAGATCCATTCTATGGAGTAATGAAGGGCAGCTAGGAGGAGGAGTTCTCTCTTTCCATGGCTGGAAAGCAAGATTTTGCTTCCCGGCATCTATCAGGCAAATGGCAAATGGTGACTCTGGTCAATAATGGTTCATTCAAGCTGGAGTGAGTTAAGAGTTAGTTGCACTGTGACTCCAGCCTAACAGGATTATTCCATCTTTCCTCCAGATCCCACTCCCCTCATTCTGTCCGCTTTACATTTCATATAAATATCTGGACCTCCATGGTGGGGGTGGGGAACATAGGTCCGAGTTGAATAACCTGACCGGCACAAACAATACTGTATTCGTTTCTTCATTTCCGCCCTGCTACATACATCTTTCGGTTTCCTATCGTGGTGAGTATTCCTTCAGAAAAGGCATGAGCTTCCTTTGAGTGTTCTTTATAGCACTATATGTTAAGGCTATTGATTGTAAAGGATTTAGATGAATTCCAAAGGGGAGAGCTTTCCAGGATGATAAAACTCCACATCAGGAATCATGTTGAAGCTAAACCCATAAGCAAAGATCACGTGCCAGTACACCATTCCTCGCCAGGCCAGGCAGAAGGTGACACAGCCCTAGAGGCCAAATCAGAAGACGGGGGTTGCAGGAGAGAAAAGAAAGAAGTCCCTTGCTGCTGTGAAGCAGAAGATGTTTCTTGGGAACAAAGGCTGCAGCTACCAAGAAACTAGCAGCTGAACAGAAGCCCACTGGGAAGAATCCTCCCACAGAAGGAAAGAGACCTGCTGCATACCCATCCACTTGTTTACGCTACAGAGATCAAACCATAGTGGGCAGCTTATTTTGAATGAAGACCTGATCAAAGAGGCAATGAGAAAAAAAAATTTTTAAATAAAACTCCAGATCAGGTGTAGAGGAACAAGGTTTTTGGAAACCTTACTGAAGACTCTTACGTGGTCAAACAGCCAATTTAGCGAGCGTCAGGATGAGGTTAAGATTTAAATTCCACTCACAGAGGAATTCAGCATCCTTATGCTCTTGGGTCTTAGGTTCCAGTTGAGTTTATTTCCTGAGGATGAATACATTTTCAACAGAGCTTGCAGAGGTCACAACCCCGTGAGCTCTGGGGTTTTTCTGGCAAAACACAGGTGCTGAGTTCCACACCCTGGGCCTGCGTCAGATGAGGCTTATTCAGAATATCTCCTGCCTATGAGGGATGATGTTCGTGTTCCTTCTCACATGTCCAACGCAGGCAATGGGGCAGAAAGAGCACAGAGGGGGCTCATCGGGGGCAGTGGAGGATCCCAAAGATTCAGGCCCACGAAGGGCATGGCTCTGTCTGCTGCGGGAGCAAGGAAGGCTTCTCTCAGTGTAACCTGGGGGTGGAGGGTGGGTGAGTGGAGGATGGGCAAACAGCAAAGTCACTTCCGTATCCAAATTAGAGCTCTGGGGTTGTGGTGGAGAAAGGACAGAGCACACCTCCTGCAGCCAGGGAGCACTTATTCAAGGAAACACTGGTTTTCAGAGGATGTTGAAAATACCCCAACTTACTGCAGCGGTCAGGGACGTTAGGTGAGCTATTTAGTATCATTCAGTTTCATTTTACAGAATCATGATGTCCTTAGACTTCCCTCTGATCCTTTAGGTCTCAACTTACATATTGCCGTCTTAAAGAAGCCTTCTAGTTCCCAGACTGAGTTAGGGACCCCTACCCATGCTGGGCTCGGCTAGTCCTTTCCACATTGTGCTGTAATTGGCTATACCCCATCTGTCCATCCCACCAGACTAGGAATCTCCTGAGGGCCCCAAGGGTCCCAATTTCCAGTGTCTGGCTGGACTGGTACACTGTAAATGTTTAGGGAATGGAAAGGTAATGAATAAATTAATGAAACAAAGAAAACTCATATCGTATTAGCAGCACTAGAGAAAACATGTAAAATCTTAAGTGATCCATCATCTTTTAAATAATTTGTTTAAATGATATTCAAATGTGTATTACCTCCAAGAAATCGTTTCTGCATTCAACTGAGTTATCGATGCCAAATGAATGAAAAAAGAGGGAAATGGTGTGGTTCTGGGGGGCCGTGAGAGTAATGGTGCAGTCCATGTCATTGTCATAGTTATCTGGCCATCCAGGACTCCTCAGGTTGCCAAATGCCTTGTGATAGTCTCTGTTGCAATCTTAGAGGGAAAATATGCATAATTAATGTATGCATCCAAATATTTAGTGCTCTTTCAACTCCACAGGAATCATTCAAAAAGGTCATTACATTTGAACAAAGTTTAGAAAAAAGTAATCCAGCTTCTTCGTTTTACCTTTGAGATAATTGAGACCCTACGCGGTGAAGTGCATTGCACAAGCAGCACACAGGTCATTCACACACACACCCCGAGTGAAGTATGACACAGGAGCTCCCTCCTTTCAAGACAAATACTCTAGCATCCTGCGAACTTTTCTGATCATGCTGAGGTGGAAGTGGCTAGCATTCAGACTCCCTTTTAGGCAAAGACACTACCTCCAAGATACAGTTTTGCACAAGGATTTTAAATCCATTGGTGAGTTACCTGTGGCAAATTGTTCTTTATTCGTTTATTTTTTTTGGTAAAAAAATACCAAAAGTACTTTTGTTCGTTTTCACCAAAGTCAGCTTTCATTTGAATCAATGCAAAATAAATATTAAATAAAGTGTTCTGTGAAAATAAACTTCTCAGTGATAGTAATCAGGTAACCCATTCAAGGCTTTTTGAGTTTTACAAAATAATTTTCTAAGATTTTCTTTTTTTTTTGAGACGGAGTTTCGCTGTTGTTACCCTGGCTGGAGTGCAATGGTGCAATCTCAGCTCACCACAACCTCCACCTCCTGGGTTCAAGCAATTCTCCTGCCTCAGCCTCCCGAGTACCTGGGACTGACTACAGGCACGCGCCACCACACCCAGCTAATTTTTTTGTATTTTTAGTAGAGACGGGGTTTCACCATGTTGACCAGGATGGTCTCTATCTCTTGACCTCATGATCCACCCGCCTCGGCCTCCCAAAGTGCTGGGATTATAGGCGTGAGCCACCGCGCCCGGCCTCTAAGATTTTCAATTGTGTGAAACTACTAAAAACCTCTGAAATATAAACCTTAAATGGATAAATTGTATGATATGAGAATTATATTTTGATAAGGCTTTTGTAAATAAATATATTTCTTATAAATAAACATTTATATTCAATGTGGTTAAGTGGATAATTAATAAGATAACTAGTTTAAAAATCAGCTACATAGTCTTTGAAGAAAATGCTCGCATTCTAAGCATCTTGGTTAGTATTATTTTCTCTTTCCCTCTTTAGAAATCAACTTTAGTAATTTGCTAAATTGTGCCTGGGTTCTAGTTAAGAGATGGGTGTGGTTTTTGTTAACAAATCCTAATTACTCACAGGAGTCAATTCCAGAAACAATTAAAATTATTCTAGGAATAATTATAATGATGGCAGCTTTTCTGAATAAAAGATGAAGTTCCAGGGCTCACCTGCTATCTGATAGGTGAAACTCATTCTAGAATTTCTGTTTAAAACTCCAGATTTGAAAAGGACAATTGCAGTACTCATAGAAGAATAAAACACTGGCACGGCCGAAGCATTTCTGCCACAGAACTTAATTCTCGAATTTCCATGACCCTGAAATGAAATGGAAGCCAAATCATGTTAGATATAGTTTTAGAAAAGAACAGGCCATAACAGAAATCAAACTGCATATAAAAGTACGGCTTAAATATTTAACCATGGAAACTAGCTCTGATGTTGGAAGTGCTCTGCAAGAAGACTCACGTTGGCCTTGGAATTGACACAGTTGCACCTTGGCGAGGCAGTGGGAGGAGGGGAGGCAAAGTTTCTGCTGAAACCAAAGACACTTCCTGCTGAAAACAAGACCCTTCCCCCGATGCAAATTCCCAGCCGAGGCCTGTGCCATTGCTCTGAGCACAGCTGTGCTACTTGACAGTTCACTGTGTTTCTCCTCCTGGGGCTTTTGCCATCATCCTGAGCTCCAGAGGACTAAACCACCATTGCCCTGATCCAGCCCTTGCTACCCCTTAGCAAATCTAATCAGAGCCTTTGGTTCCAGTGGACATCCCCCAAGCCAGCGAGGGCCTGTAATGAGGTCCCAGTTCTCCTTTGTAACACCTGGGCGGCCCTCATCGCCTCTCAAAAGCCTGGAGTAAATACAGTGGAATGCCCAGCCGTTCATGCGTAAAAACAAGTTGTACCAAAGTCAGAGTATTTGTGGCCTCCCTGTCACAGGTATGTCTCCAATATCTGCAGTCCTTAGGAACCAACTCAAAGACCCCACTTGCCTCTCCCTGCAAACTGCTGTTACTGCTCGGGGCTTCCACTCCTCCCCCTCACTGTCTGTTCCTCTTGGTTCTAGTCTAACTTTGCTGTATCCTATGAATGTTAACTGCACTGTCAATTATTCTCTGTATACATTCCCTGCCTTTCCACTTTGTGACCTTGGCAAAACCTCGTTCTCCAGCAGCATCCTGGTAGAGGCCATTCTTTTCCCATGCTCCAGAGTTCACTGAATACGAAGGGTGGGGGCCGCCCTGGGGGGAAGAGTGGGATGCTTCCTCACTGCAGCTTCCATCCTCACCTCAAAGCTGGTTCTCCTTTGAGGGTCTCTACGTCTGGCCAAAGATAGTCTCACCATTCTCATCACTCTCACTTACTTTTCTCCGGGTTACTTCCCTTCATTTATGAAAGACTCAAGATGTCTCAGCTCATAGTAATCTCCTGCACCCAATTTCCTTTCTGAACCCTTAGAGGTTTAGTATCTTTACAGACAAGCCATTAAACACCCTCACTTTGTATCTCTCAACACCAGTGACTTCCATCTCTGCATCTCTGTTCATCTCCAGTGGCAGCTAGCCACCGTCCTCTGTAACAGCCCTACACATCATTCCTTCATGATCTTCCAGTGAGGGCTTCTCTGTCTGCTCTTGGATCCCTCAAGAATCCCAGTTCCTCCCAGCTCATCAGTCACTGTTTGTCTTTCCTCCCTACCTGCCCAGTCTGAAACCCTGACTTTTTTCCTGTATTCATTCAGTTGAAAACATCATTCAGTCATGACAAACACTGGGTCTTACTCGAGGCTATGCCAGCTGCTGTTCTGTTCCAGCCTGTGCCTAGTG